GGAAAGTCTAAACAACTGTATTAGACCACTGTCATAGGACATATTACTCCTGAAATACTGTTATGGCACCTGCACAGAACTGTCCAACTTAGGACAGATCATAAGACAATAAGATGTGGATCAGCATCAAAAAAGCATCTCACATGAACTAGACAACCTTCTTGGCATGTAGCAGGAGAACAGAGATCGTGCTGAATTCCCAAAACAGATGAGAAAAAAAATTCTGTTGGTAGATTTTATGCTCCACTGAGTGGACCAGATTAAGAGCATAGGGGACACTGCATGAGTACCAGAGCTCATTCTTAGGCTTCATATAATGGTGATATTCTGCAATAAGGAGAATGGTTACATTCAAGCAGAATTCAGCCACCATTCCACTTGGGTGACAACCTTGTCACACATGTCAGGGCAGGCAAGATGTGTCCAGAGAGGTCCCACTTGGAGCATCTCCTACCAGTTGCTACATAAACAGTCACACAGCCACCAATTAAAGGTTCACAAAGGACTGGCCTGACTGCAGCTTGGCACAGAAGGAAGAACTGAGGTAGACCAAACCTTTCAAAAATCCTGGGCAAAGGCACCCAGTTTTCAAAGCCATCCAGCACTTCTTGAAAACGCTGATGCCCATCAGGACAGAGACAAGCCCCTGACGAGCTGGAGACAGCCAAAGCTAGATCTGTCCACAGGCCCTGTATGGCCAGGAGCTTACCAGGTACAAGTGCACAGATCATTCTCAATTTCCATACTAACGTCCTTTCATTCTTCTGTCTTTCCCGTGCTAATGCTTGCATAGCCTTTGAAGATAAACGTATTACCAGAAGCAACTGTCCATTAACAGCTCTACACTGTAAACAAGTGTCAAGGAAACAAAGCCTTAATGATGCTCTGTCATCTAAAAATACTATAAACAATGTCTGTGTTACTGATGGATAAAGGAGGGCTTTGTTCCTAATGAAGGGGATAGACTATCAGAGAAAAATTCACTTCCCAGCTCTATAGGACCCAGTGCATAAACCTAGGGTATTCATTCAACTTCACTGGGCTTTGCTCCCTCCCAGTCCTACTGAGAGGACAAGCTGACACTACTGCTGCAACACAAGGGATCTCAAGACTAAGACACAACTAACAATTAAGGCATTAGTATTTGAAAAGTTCATTATAGCCTTCTGTGGAAAGGTATTGTGGAAACTTGAAGCATTACTAGAAGTGTGCCCTAAATAGCCTGGCAAGATAGCCAAACGAAATATTATTTTCAAAGATAAAAAAACTAATCTATTTTCTCCCTTTACTTCATCTTGGAAATTTTCCTGTATCTAAGTGATTTCACGTCTGCTCTCCTTCCAAGTGCCACAGTTTGATATGTTTTTTGTGTTCTAGTAGTGACTCCCTCTCTGGGGTTCCCTCCTCCAACTGTGACCCAAAATAAACAGCAAGGTCTCTCCCACTCTTCCCATGTTAATAGTCTCATACATTATTCAACAAGGCTCAGAAGTGCAAAAAGACTTTACTAAACAATTGACCCAGAGAGGAAGAGGCAGAGCTTACAGCATCAATTCTTCAACCTGTTAAGAAGGTCATGATCTATTTAGCATTAACAGGAAACTAAGATTTCACAAAGCATTAGAAAAAGGAGAATTTGGAAAAGACAACTTTGTTCTTCCAGATCTCTGCTAGTTTATCCTCTGTACTCTTATCCAGCTCTGCCCAAATCCCTTTATGAATCACATTTTTTCCATATTTACTTCTGAAAAATGGGAGACAGTTACATTTTTAAAAAAGAGTAAAGTCATACAACGGCTGGCCCACCCATTCATACATCTCAAACCTGTCACTCTGTTATTTCCCCTGTAGGCCATTTTGGGAACATAAAAATACATTAGTGATACCCATGTAATGGTCAATGGAAGTAGGAATACATTTTGAGATGAAAAGGTAAGGGAGATGAAAATACATTTCTAGATTTTCAATGGTTTCAGTGCAGTGTGTGAGCAATTTTTATGACAAACACAAACCTACACCACACATCTTTGTTTTGTTCTTATACACTGCAATTATCCTGGAAATTATGAAAGTGTCAAATACAAACCAGAACAGACTTGACATGAGAGGAAATAATTCCAGAAAGAGGACTAAAACTAGTATTCCCTTCCCAAAGGCATATTTAGATTTTTATTTTAAAATAAATTTTTTTCCCCAGTTTAGGCCATCATTTTTAAACGGGCATGGGGGGCAACAGTATTGAAAAATATGACATAAGCAATTCACTTGGACAAAATTACAAAATAATAATGCAACCATTTCACACTAAAAATGTCAACAAAAGGGATATTCCATAAAACACAGTTGTTTAATCAAATCAGTATTTTCCAGTATTACAATTTTTTATCAGTTCCTATTGCTAAGAAAGCCAAAAATTGGAAGCTTAGGGATCACACAGTTTCCTGTGTTACTCATCACCACAGTAAATTGGTGCTTCATTGAGCCTATTAAAGATTATCTCAACAAAAAGAAAGCACGGTATGTTTTTCGTTTTATATATTTGGCTCTCTATTATATTTGGCTCTCAAGTCAAAACAGCGTCAAGGAAGGAGCATCACTAATGTTCCTGATCCCTTTATTTGAAAGCTAAGATATTGGTTTTCACCAGTTATGAGCACATCAACACTCTTCCAGCTTGCAGTGGTGGAATGAGGAGCTAAGTATTATTGGGGACCCCTTTGCTGAGGCACACACAGAGCATGGTCCTGACCCAGGCAGTCACAGGTGCAGCAGCCACTGCTGCCATAGCATATTCCATGAAGCTGGCACCTTTCAAACACACTGTTTTATCTTCCCATCTCAGCCCCAAGGATCCTTACCAGCGTGCCCTGTGCAATTTGTTACTTCACACAACTCTTTTTATCAAGTACTTTAAAGTTAACCTCCTACAGTAAACGAGCTTACCATTTCTCCTCATGGGATACGCATTCAGTATCTCAAAAAAATTGCTCTAATTCCATGGTGTTTACTATTCTCAGTTCTCCTTCCCCCCCCCCCCCATAAGAATAAAGAGAAAAAAATGTTTTCAATGCAAAAAACCACAAAGCATTCCAGACGGGGGGGGGGGGGGAAGTAAAAGTGGAATTGATGCTGAAGTTTGGGATCACCGGGATGAATATAAATCACTACTAGAGCTTAGAAAGCAGGAGACCACCACAAAAATGTTTCAGAAATGTCATGGTTTTATTCTAAAAACCAGATTGCATTACTCAGGGCTGGCAAAACTATTCATTAATAAACATTTTCAGATGACACTGGATCTTTTTGATAACTTTCAGGAGAAAATCAAGCTAAACTACCTTTCCCCAGCTTGTGGGGGTACACAAAAGAACCGAGATACAGACCCAACTCCTACTGCAACCCTTTCAGAGCAGTGACTTCTGGACTTCAAAAATCATCACATAAAAACCATCACGCTTTTGCCCAGAGGCAAAACCCATTAATTCAACCTGAACCAATTTATTATTATGTATTTTCAAAGTTTCATTTTGGGATAGGAGGGGAAAATCCCCACAACATCATTTTTCTAATACCAGTGTTTCATCAAAAACCTTCAAATCAAAATAAAAAACTCAATACATTTGCAACCCAAGTGAAAGCATCACTTCTAAGGATATTGCTAAGTTGAATTTAACATGCAATTTGAGTTTTAGGTTTTTTAATCCTTGTTGCAGACTAAATACTTCAGAAGGCATAATGAAGTTCTAGCAGCTCATTTTCAAGTTCTCATCCTAATGCAAAATAACAAAGACATTCTGTTAGAGCACAAGACAAACTAACCAAAGGAATGACTTGCTGTCCTTTTCCTTAATGACCTTGCATTACCGTAACATGTATCAGGAAAATTTTGATAAGTTAGTCCCTACTGGAAATACTACTTAGAAAATTCCTGATCTTCATGCCTGTGGGACTGAAGCTTCTGACCTCAAGAAATGGTCTGTTTCTCCTGGCAACGTGCCAGAAGTGTTATCAGCACTTTTGTAAGACTCCAAAGGTTCCCATTTCATTTATATCAGAGCTGTCTTCATATTGCTTTTTGTACACTGCCAGAATACTGATTTTCCATAGTTTCTGAAAGCTTCATACAGCTCAACAGCAAGGAACATGCTTTGATACTGACAGGTTGGCAGAGAAAGGCTGTACTTTAAACACACTCACCTTGGTGTTCAGACTCAAAAATGAGCCATCAGTCCCTAGCCTGTCTCTTCTTCCCCTGCCTGACAAGACATACTTAGCCTTATGCTCTAGAAACAGAAACTTAATCTAGGGCTGTGACAAAAAAAAGAAAACCGAAGCTTGGAAAAAAATAAGGTTTCCATCCCCTTGTCTCAATGTGAACCACAGGATATTGAGAAATGTTGGACTTCAAGTTCCAGACTTAGAAGTGCTCTTTGAAGTGAGAGATGCCTAGCAGTGCTTCAGGCTTCAATTTAAAGCTCTGGCTAAGGTTGCACCTAACCTACCATTTATATCTGAAGTTGCAGCGCAGTTCTGAAGTAGGTCACTGAGTTTTCCCAACATACCATCAGTTGATTTGATTCACAGAGCAGTTTCAGTGCACCTGAGCTGCATTTCTTTTAGAGGGAAATAGAACAGAAGGTCATATCCAGATGCATTGTAAAGGCATTCCAGCTACTAATGGAATCAAAGCAATGACTCGATATTTGTATGGCTTCAAGATGTAAGACTGACAGAGATGTTCAGTCCAGACCACCAAAAAAAAACAAAACAAAAACCTAGCTAAAAGTAAATGCTAAAGGGCCTCAGCATCGACTTTTGACCTTCTGATTCTCTCTTCCAAAAATCCAAATGAAATCCATAGAATTAAACTGATTATGTCAGTAAGGTATCACACTGGCTCATCCAGTTTCTTAACTGACATATTCATACACTAGTGCCCTGGCTGAGTTGTAATGACACCAGAATTAGCCCAGAACCCCAGTAAAGGTCATACCACTTACCAGGCCATTGCAAGTGCTGATTGCTGCTGTCCCACTCCCGGAACCTGGCTGCCATGCTGTGCCATGGAAGTGGCAAGGAACTCCTGAGCGAGTTGTAATCTTCGCACTAGTGTGGTTGCCACGTCTCCTTTCTACTATGTAGTTATGGGAAAGAAATCCCACGTGGACAGTCAAGTTAAAAAACAGATCCTTCTCCTCATGATTAATTTTGTAATATACGACATTTTCATTTTTTCCGAGATCTCTCTTCTTCCTTGTGTTTGAGATGTGATGGTGTAGATTAAAAGAAAGAAAATGCCCACTTGCATCTACTCTTGCTGGATCAACCACATAGTAATCTGGTAATGTCTTCACAAATTGCCCTGAGAGAAAGAGGGGGAAAAAAGGAAGTCAAACTAGGGTGAGTACTGGCCTGTTCAGATTTCACATAATTTAAAGGGAAACCCAAAAGCGAGTGCAATTCACCACAACATCCAAGTGACACAAAGGCAGGCAGTGCACAGATTACAGTGCAACACAGTCCTCATTTGGGCTTTCTATTCTCCCATTATAACACTCAATCTGGAAGCTAAACATTCTTCTTTTCAAATAATTTGTCATCATTTATAGAAAAAACTGACTGTTACACTCACACCCCTTCCCAACACCACAAGGGTTGGGAACTCTGCCTGTCCTAGGTCTCCAGCACATGATGCTCTCTGATCAAGGAGGTCATGTTCACACATCCAAAAAGCTGAAGACCTGAAGTAGGAGACAGAACCTTACAAACACACATAGGCAAAGAGAACAATAACTGGCTTGATAGTTTGTAGTAATAGCATCTCAGCTTGAGCAGCTGTTGGAGCAGAGGAGGGAGTTTTAAAGAAGGGTTTGAAGAGAACGAAGTACTCATGATCTTTTGTATGAGAAGCTTCAACCAGGGTAAAATTGGACATCTTATCACTTGTCCAGATCTAGCAAGGGAAAAGAGTGTTATTGACATTCTTGTCCCCTCTATGATCCAGAACAAACACCACCTGTTTCCAATTTTTTTTTTAATTACTTTGAAACTCGAAAGCCCCAGGAAAATAACATAAATCCACGTAAAAAACAGTCCGTAAGAACTCATAACCTAGGGGCCAGATCTTCCACTGGTGTATTTGAATTCTGCCCAAGAAATCACAGTCTGAACATATTTAGTTGAAAAGACGTTCTGACGACACGTCATTCCAGTTCTTCTTTCCCCAGAGTTTCTCTTCATTCCCAAGGTCCCAGTCACTTATACATGAAGTGACTACATTTCATTCATTAATTAAGATGCTTAACAAAGCAATTAGCCTGTTCCAGCTACTTCTAGACTAGGTCTGGTCGTCAATCCTTCTAGAGGCACTTTTCCCTTCACTGCCTGCACCTTTAAAGCCACAGAGGAGAAATCATGCCTAAGCAGACAGCTGTCTGGATTCATCCCCTTCAGGAAGGAACATATCTCATTTGTCCTCATTACTGCAGTATGAGACGTGGCACGTGGCCGCTTGTGTTTCCTCAGGCCATGGACCCTTGAGACACATACACTGAAACACTTCCAACTGAAAAAAAACCAAAACAAAACACACAAAACCCCCACTTCCCAGCACATATATAAAGCCACACAAGAAATCTGACCTTCTCTCTGCAGCATCTCTATTTCAGAACCAATATTATTCTCTTACACAACAGATTTCTTCGCACACAAGCCTTTCCACCAGTCTACAGTGACCTGGAGCCTCTGTAGGACAAGCCACAGTAGTGGGCTTTTAGGCCTCAACAGTCTTGACAGGTCTTGACAACACAGTGACTAATGCCTACCACAAGTTCTGAGAGACATCTGCTCTTGTCCACATAAGGGGACTGAAACACTGGAAACTCAGTCCACACCTTCATGTCTGCAGTTATATAGCCTCTAGGTAGCACAGAAGGTGCCAGCTGCCAAAAAATTTAGCAGCTGAAGCTAAACCAAGGTCTCCTCTTCCTCACACTCCAGAGTGAAGCAAAAAACGGGCAGGTAGAAGAGATAAAAAACATCCAAAAATACAGCTTAACTGCAGATGTTGAATTACAAGACTTCTGGGAAGTCCTACATATCGTGCAAGCATAGCCAGGCTAACAGAGAATGCTGTAAGACCAGGCCCCCATTTCTGCAGTTTTCAGCACAACTCATTAAATAATCAAATTAAATGCCTGAAGGAAAACTTACTTATTTGCTGTCACTGTGTGATTTGCCTCTGCCTGATGTCTTGAACTTAATTTGTTGTGGCTTAACTGTTAAGCTCCATGCAAGGCCAAAGACTTGTGGTTTTGGACTTCAAACTACACAAGGAAGTTTTTATCTCATCACTACAGCCATTAGTGTATAGAGGTTAAGGCAAATTAGACACCATCATCAGTAAATGGAAAAAAATGGTGAAGAATTGGGTGGCAACAGGATTATCAAAGCAGAAAAATCCAACTTCTTCCACCAACTCCTTAAATACTCATTTAGTCACTGGAGAGGGGAATTATGCTGCAATAATAATAGCTGTAATATAACTGTAGAAATGAATTATTATTAAGCTTTCAAAAGACCAGAGGGAATAAGATTATTACAACAAAAAATTTAACAGGATGAGGCTAAAGATATTTCTGCAAGTAATCATTATCAGTTTTGTCTAGATAGTAGGGTAGAAGTTAGCAAAGGCAATCCTACCATTGACAGAACAATTTATTGAGCTCCATATTAAGCCTAAAACACTGCTTGACCTTTTGAGCTGGAGAAGAATCTAAAACAAAGACAAGAGGTATGATTTTGGTGATACCTTTCTGCTCTTCTAGGAAAGAATAACTAAATACATGCAACCCAAACTGCACAAAAATAAGGGCTGCATCCTTCAACACTGAATGCCTCAATTTTTCTAAAGTAACATGAATTCCTGTTAAAACACCACAGGTTCCCATAAAACTTAGCAGCAGCAAACATAAATGGAGGGAATCTACATCAGTGCCACTGACAAGCCTTAGGGCTGACATGTCACAGCATCTCCCTTGTTCACCTAGTATACATACTCTCCACTCCAGGGAAATCCTGCCAGTGAAGTGGGTACTGCTCAGGATACTTAGGCCAGGAAAGGTCAGGTGAACCTCCAGAGAATGTTCGTTGTGTTTCCAGAACCGCAGCCTGAGCATGCTGGCTTGCATCTATGCTGCAAACAAGACCAAATCATCACACTGAGCAGCACACTCTCAAGTCAGTACTTTGCCTTGCAATCATGCTGACTGCTCAGGCCCTCTGGGCACGTAGGACAAGCAAGGTTCAGGCCCCTCATGCTTGTTTGAGTAGTCTAAGTATTGTTTAAGTTGTCAGAGAAATCTTCCCTCCAGACCTTCCTAATTCTGAATCATTGAAAACATCTGATAATATTCAAAACCACTGCTGTATGTTCTGCTCCTCTGTGGATACAAATTCAGTACACATGGCAGAGAACTGCCTTATTAAGAATGGCTGTACACAAAGTGAATAAATTAGAATAAAGACAAAAACATACACGATCTGTCCCACATAACAGGAACACCACAATTACTTTCAGACAAATAACACATTTCCTGACAAAAGTCCTTTAAAATGCTATACATCATCATTTGCCATTTTTTCATCTTGATCTTTCTAGTTCATCTACATCTGCCCCAAAAATCATCTGGCTTCTTTTCATACAATTCCTTGGGATAGGAAATAGTGTGGCTCATCTTGTGAGGAATCATCTTTGCAAGCCAAAGAACAGCTCTGTACCCAGCAAACACCCCAAGTTCCAAAGCCCTATGGCAGGGAAAAGGCCTTCAACACTCAGCAAGGGCATCCTTAACTGTCCCATCTGCCACACTCTTTATGGATGAGGAGGGAGCAGAACACTTCAGCTATTCCAGATTCAAATTTTAGTCCTTTACACTTCCCACCGCAATAAACCTTACTCTGAAAAAAAAAAAATAAAAAAGAATCAGCCACACTTTGAACTGCCTCTTTACTCCATGCTATTTGAAAAGCCTAGATTTTGCATGCCTAGAAAGTTAAATTAATTCTACATTCACTTCCTAATGCCTGACAACTAAACAGCTACTACATGCTAACACAGCCATATCCCTCTTTGGTTCCATTTAGAGTCACAGGAGTGTAATGACTGTGACATTTACTTTAAATGAATCCAGCAGGACCTGACTTCAGGATAACTGCTCACTTTTTAAGCATCTTATTTAAACACTTTTCCTTTCCACAATCTCTGAGGGGTGAGAAAATTTTCTACTCTGTGTTCAAGCTCTCCTACTGACAGCACCACAGATGTTAATTGCATCAGAAAGATTTTCAGGAAGCAAAATTTCCTCCTACACTTTTTCTACCACCAGGCAGAGTCCTCCAGCTAATCATAATTCTTCTCCCTTAGGAGCCACTTCTCCGATTTTCCTTAAACAGGCAACAGGATAAAATTCCCGGGTTACACCCCTCCAAGACCAAAGGGGTCGAAAACTTGACCCACCTGCGAGGGCAGCCTCAAAGACCCCTCCCGCAGATAAAGTCTGACTTGCAATTACCACCCTCACTGAACGTGAATAGCTCACAGTGGGTGTTAAACCCCGGTAACACCAACCCTTCTGTAGCGTCAGCTGCTTTAGTGCAGAAGCGAGCGTTTGCTTAAAAATAAATAAATAATCAGGACAGCAAACTTTCTCAGCTTAGCAGTACAAAACGATTCTGGCATTTACAGAGTTGCCCCTAAATGAGGAAGACCAGCAAAAAAGTGGGGTTCGGGGACATCTTCATCTACACAGCGGAACTCGGCGACTGCCAAGGAAGGCGCAGCCGAGAGCGCTGAGCCCTCGGTGCAGAACTTTGGGCGCGGAGCAGCCCGTACCGGCTGGCGCCCAGGGCAGCGCTGCCAGCGGGAGGGAGCCCGGGCAGCACCGGGGCCGGCACGGCGCTGCTCGGGCAGGAGGGGAGGCGAGCAGCGCCGCGGAGCCGCGGCTCCACCGGCTGGAAGCACATCCGCGACGGGACCCGCTCCCCCCGCGCACCCCAAACCCGTCGGCACTGACCTTGCCTGCCGTCGGGGAAAGGCGAGCCGCCGGCCGGCGGGGCCCTGCCCAGGCAGAGCGCTTGGGCGCGCAGGACGAGCAGCCAGAGGGAGACCAAGCGCGCCGCCCGGCTCCGCGGGACGCATGGCATGGTGCGGGCGGGCGGCTCCGAGCGGGGCCCGCCGGCGCCTACCGGGACCGCGGCATGGCCAGGGCGGCTCCCGGCGCCGCCGGACACAGGCGCCGCTCCCCACAAGGGCTGCGCGGGGCCGTCCCGGTGTCTGGTTTCTGCCGGCGGAGGAAGGAGGGCTGTGGGGAGGGAGCCGCTCCCGAGAGCCCCCGCCTCGGAGCCGCAGGGGTTAACGCGCTGGGGCGAACCGGGCCGGCGGGGAGGGGAGGAGAGGCGAGGCCGCCAACAGGGGCTGCTGCCCCCCCTCCGCCCTCCACCGCGGCCGAAGTGGGGCGTTCGCCCCGGCAGCGCTCGGGAGGGCCGCCCCGCACAGGGCAGCATCCCCTCCCCGGTCACACGCCGGTGGCCTCCGCTGAAGGGCGCGGGGAAGGCGCAGCCCCCGCACCCGCCCTGGCAGAGGTTCCCCCGGCCGCTGGAGAAAGTGCTCGAAGCACTTGGGAATTTAATGCGTTTTCCACCACGTTCCGCTGCAGCGGGAAGGGCCGGCGCGGGTCTCGCCCCGCCTGAGGCGCCCGGAACCCACGGTCCCTCGGGGTTCAGCAGCCAAAGCACAGCCTTCAGACTGCCTCACAGAATCACAGAGTCAATTAGGTTGGAAGAGACCTCTGAGGTCATCGAGTCCAACCTATGACAGAACACCACCGTGTCAACAAGACCATGGCGCCAAGTGCCATGTCCAGTTTTAACTTGAACACCTCCAGGGATGGCGACTCCACTGCCTCCCTGGGCAGTCCATTCCAATGTCTAATCACTTCTTTTGTGAAAATATTCTTCCCAATGTCCAACACAAACTTCCCCTGATGCAGCCTAAGACTCCTCAGGGTGTTGAGGCCGTTGAATGTTTTAGCTGTTGCATTGGGGTTGCTTCTTAATGTCCTCTCTTTGTAAGGAAAGTTCCTAACGGCCTTGGCACCTACGTTTTTAAGTGCATGCCGTGTTCTCTCTGCCAAGGATTCCCTGACATGGCCTCTGATGAGGTTGCTGCCAGGCTGACGCTCCACAGATAGGTGCCCACTTCGGTGCTGTCCCATACTTACAGCTTGGGCTGAATTCCACATCTACTTCAAAAGCCTCCCGCCCAAAGGTGACTCCACCATGGGTTTCTCGTATAGTTTTGTGGCAAATTATGCTTATTTGTGCCTGTTTCTCTGCTCAAACTTTCCCCAAGGTGAATGGCTGCCACAGTTCAACTGCCTTATCTGTGAGAACTGTGAACCCCAGACTCCAATGCACAAAAACGCAAAAAAGTGTTAAAGCTCCAAAGGTTTCTAAATCTGGTAGAAATATGGCTGAGACAAGATAACTCTGAAAACAGAGAATATTTGTAAAAGAGTGATACTTGATTTAGGAGTCATCATGTGCTCTCTTCTAGCTAATGGAAGGACACAGACCACGCAAAAGATACCGGATAGCACTTGCCAAGAGAAGATTTGTTCATTGCAAGGTATTTAATATACCTGTCCATATATTCTACATATCAATAACATTATCTCTTACAACAACAAGTTTCCTGGTGTGCTTGCCATCAGGATTCTTAGTCTATTCAGATAATAGGCACTAAACTGTTTTGTGAGATTGGGTATTATACCTGATTAGCTCTTTCTCAGTACTTCCCTGAGACTAATTTAAACCTAAGTGTGACCTGAAAATGATATTTTATATATATAATATTTAACATTTAAAAAACACTTGACAATTGTTGCAAAGAACGAGTTACACAATTTGCCATGAATAGTTTAAAATAATTAAATTGGTGAATAAGGAAGTATCTGCAGTAAATGGAATAAAAAGGAAAAAGACTATAAAACGAGGAGAATAGGCTAGGAGCATTGGAAAGAAGGGGTGACCATCCAAGGGATGGACATATATTTACAAAGTATTGGGTTAACGTATTTCTTGAAGGCAATCAGAAAAACAGTTCTTCTGTGAGAGACATTTAACTATTTGCTTCAGTTTCCAGTAATCTTTTGGGGTAGGTGTTCATTGAGTCTGACATGAGGCAACAGTATTTCATGAAAGGTTCCATCTCGGATTCTTTCTCATCAGGAAAAGTTAATTCCTTTTACCCATAATTCTCTCCAACCCTGGAAATAATGGAGAACTACAAGCTTTAGGAACTCAAGAGGGTTTGTGGGAATGGAGGGGGTTTCTGTTTGGTTGGTTGGTTTGGTTGTTTGTTTGTTTTAAGAACAAAAAATTGTAGATGCAAAAGTCATATGGAATGGAGAAAGAGTACTGTGAGAATCTGGCCTAAAACATCTATAGCTACCTAGGCTTTGTGCCAGCATGTATGTACACAGAAGAAATGATTCACTGGGTGTAGTATCAGAAAATACCCTGGAGGACAGTAGAGTTCCTACTTAAGGGATGTTGTGCCTGCAGCTGGCACAGTCACAGTGTCCAAAACACAGCACTGAACCAGCTACTAAGAGGAAAACTATCTCTACCCCAGCTAAAACCAGGACACACATCCAGTCAAAACGTGAAGAAATGGCAGAAGTAGAAAGCACTTTCCTGCTGTGAGTACATACTGAGGCCAGCTATTTCAGTGAATGGAATTTATGGCACTGTCTCTTCCCAGCAGTTTCCTGTTCCAAAGAGGCATTACCAGAGGTTTTGGAGCCTTTTTTGAAAGTATTTGAATTTTTTTTGCCAACTCAACCTCAATTGTAAAAAGAAAAAGAATACAGCACTATATCAGCTATGTTCTTTTGGCAACAAAGTTATTGCACTTCAGTAACTGCATCTCCACACAGAAAAACCTGTACATTTATTGAAAGGTCACAATCAAGAGACACAGTCAAGCCTGGATTGGCAAACCAGACACAATATCGGGTTTCTTTTAAATTTAAGTAGACTTCTAAGACAGCAGTAAAATAAATGTGTGTGTAGCAATTTATAGGTATCTAGAAATGTACAGAGAAACAGAGAAACAGAAAAACAGAGGTTGTGAGCAGCAAGGAACTGAAACACAAATTGTATGATTTCACACATAGGAATTGCTACAAAATGAAGCCCAGTGAAGACAGTCAGGAAATATGCTTTACTAGGAATGAGAGTCTCCTAAAAGTTATTTAGTACACACTTGCTTGCCTGCTCCTCCGATCAGCAGGGAGAGAAGATACCTCTGGAGGATGACACATCCCTTTCTGTCACATGCAAGGTGAAACACTGTCCAGACCTGATTATCTGTCAACTATACAGGCAGCTTAACAGTTTGCTTGGACCAGAAATGTTAAGAAGATGAATCACACATGGTGTGGTGGGCCATGTTAAAGGTATTGAGTATTGGCAGAGACGCAAATTGAAAGAGAATTAGTCTGAATCCCAAAGACTTGTGGAGTTTGCTGGGTAATTATTGTTGCATCCATTTATCTATTGTTCTCAGGCAGATTTAGATGGAAGTTTGTAAGTACCTTTTTTTTTTATTCTTATTCCCACTTCCTCATTTAGAGATGCAGCCTCCTAACATAGCTAACTATTGGTAATTGAACTAGAGATGGTTGGATCCCTCAACTTCCAATTCATTATAGTTTTAAAGATTTTTGGAATTTCATAAGTTACTCATGCAAAAAAATATATTTGCTGACATTCCACTCGTAGTATGTTTGTCGGCAGATCCAAGTAACAGAATGAAGCAAACTCTAAAGTAGTCAGTGATTCTATGACATGAAAGTTTTTGGGATGCTCACACTCAAATTCCTGATCAGTCTTCAAACACTGATTGTTATTTTTAATTGATAAGCTAATTCACAGAATTATAATTTTGTGCTTAGTCTATATGAATTTAAAATTCATTCATCATACTACCCGTATTAACTGTTTAAACGTGTATTTCTGGAGCAACGGGACACATTGAAATTAGCTTTGTATGAAAATTAGTGCCAGAAAAATATGTTCTCAGTGATCTGTCTAGAAAGCAAATGATGGGAGGAGATGAACATGATTAAAGTGATTTGGGGATTTCTTGAATTAAAATTTACTTCTGTGTCCAAATAATACTTTCTTGAGGATATGTCTATGGTCCATGAAGCATACCATGAAGCACTGTATGATCATTTTGTTATTTAAGTGAGATTTTGTAATGTAAACCTCTATACATTTCCTACTACATTTTTAAGAAACGAACTGCCATGAAAATCTTCCCATGGTGGATATATACTAAGTCACACCAAACCTTCACTCTCAAAATGGAGAAAGTAGAGTTATAAAACGCAGTTCAGACTGTAACAGTTGTTGTCTGAATTTAGTCAAAAGCATGAGATTGTAGCCTTGAGCTCATAAAAAGACAAAGGGATATGCTTTCCAGAAATTGGAACTGAGAAAATAAACAAATATGAAATTTCCTTTTCCTGTTTCCTTCTCCTCCTCCAGAGTTTTGTTTTAATGAGAAGAAAATGCCACGAAAAGAATTGTTAATAAACAGAATACAATTGCAAGAATGCAACATTTGAGAATAATGTTATATATATTACTAACTCTTTTTGATGAAATCTGTTCAAGAGCTTTACTATTACTACGTTTTGCTTCAGCATTCAAATAGAAAGAAAAATTAAGCATCCCTTATTGCTATAAAAAGACCCCAAGAAATAGTCCCATGTTTCTGTGTTAAGTTATATATTCAACATTTCAGTAATTTGTTTTAAGCTACAAAAATTACTTTTATTTTGAAAATAGAAACCCATCTCCCTTGCCAAAATATTTCAGAAGAACGTACAGTTGGTTCAGTCACTGTTGTAATTGTAGTAAATCTTTTGTTTGTGTACGAGGTCTGTAAAAGGAGTGAAAAATTACAGGAATTCTTTAGGGTGAATTGTAGGAAAAGTGTAATTTTCAACAAATGTTGAAAGTTTTTTTGCATGTTTATCTGAAACATTTTTAAATGCTATTTGAGAAACATCTGCAGGGACACTTTTATCTGTAATACAATATAGTCAGAATCAATGGGCAGCTTCTGTTGGTGGTCTGAACTGGTGAAAGCTTCTTAAGTTTGCTGTACTGATGGATCCTGTCTGCAGGCAATCTAGCAACCTCAGTCCTATGGATTATTTTAGCATAATACTACATATACGCCAAAAAGCCTCTTACAAAACCCTGCAGGATCTGTTTGAGATCTCCAAAATAAACAAATCAGCCATTTTTTCATGATTATCACCAGAATACATCACAAAAGCCTATGCCTATCAAGTTTATTCTAGTTTTCATAAAGTTTGAGTCAGTAACACTAGTTACACTGGTACTTTGATAAAAAGAAGACTCTGAAAAGTTACATATTAGCAACAAGCCTTTGGCAGCATTGGTGAAATGAGTAGGGAACAAACAGAAGACAATATTTTCCAGAACAATGACCCTTGGGTATTATATTTGCTGAATTTGGCAATACTTTTTGGAAGTAGCTGATGGCTTTTTAACATTTTTCCAGCCATGGAAGTGTTCTGACAGTGTGTTGAATTATTCAGCAAATATTTCTTTTATTATTTATCTAGGTGTAGCAAGTTTCCTTACCTGCCTCTAAAACTTCTCTAAGATGAAGAATGACAAAAAAAAAGTATGGTCCACCTAAGGCTAAAAAGGAATTTCGCTGGTGTTCAAAATATGAGCAAAACCCTTGGGTAAATATTTCACACTTGCAGCCCTGAGTTCAAAGTTCACTACCAGTGTGTTCCTGTGAGATACCTCAGTTCACACTTTGTGGCTTTCTCTGGGTGATGAAGAGAAAAAGCAATATATCTTTGGACATTGTTTCCCACCTTCTCACCTTTCTGAATCACTATTACTCTTCAGCCCCTGTTATGTATCAACAAGATGTGCCAAGCAGAAGAAATGGTAGAAGAAATTACTCTGTGTAAGACATGCTCACTGCAATTTTTCCAGTAAAATATTTAAAACTGGGTGTGGAGCTAGCAATGTGATTAGAACGGGGGCAGAATTAATTGTGGACAAAATCCACTTCTGCACTGTCAGTCTCACTAATGATTTACCAAGTGAACGAATCATAGCCTCTGTATGACTCTATTCCAGATTATTTTTTTCCTTGTGAGCTGATAGTAGCAGGACCAAGTAGAGATGTAAAATTGAATAAGAACTTGCCTGTGGCAAATATATTACCACCCCTGGTTTTGGATAAGTGCTAACACTAGTGCCAAGGCAGCTATCACTGCTGGGGGCTGGCGGGCACCTCACCTCCTGCACTGTTTACAGAGCCTCTGCAGTGTTGCAGCTCTGATTGAGACTCGGTGTTTTCACTTTGCTTGTTTATATGGTTGTTCCACTGCCATTGAAGGATCCTTGGCTTTCTCTTCTGCATGCACGGTTTTACAGTTGACTGCAGCACTGGTGGAACCGATGGGATTGTCAAGTTTCACTTCAAGGATGGTTTCCTCTGCATGAGAGAATTTGAGAAACTGTTGCCATTCAGCAGGCTAAGAGATGCAACTTAACACCCTACTATTGAAAATGGCACCTCAATGCAACTCTAGTCAGTGATTAAGAGGTATGGGAGCCTAGGAAAAAATCCATGATTTGGAGAAAGTGTGTTGGATTTGGTTGGGGTAGAGTTAATTTTCTTCACAGTGGCTAGAATGTATATCTGGTTTGTGCTTAACACAGGGTTGATAATATAGAGATGTTTTTGTAATGACAGAGCAATATTTACACAGAGCCAAGGCCTTTTCTGCTTTTCATAGTGCCATGCTGGCAAGGAGGTTGGAGGTGCATGGGAAGCTGGGAGAAGACACAACTGGGACAAGTGACTCAAACTGACCAAAGGGATGTTCCAGACCACATGACATCATGCTTAGTAAATAAAGTGGCAGGAAGAAGGCAGAAGAGGGTGATCTTTGGAGTGATGGAGTTTGTCTTCCCAAGTAACTGTCACACATGGAGCTCTGCTCTCCTGGAAATGGCTGAAAACCTGCCTGCCCATGGGAAGCTGTGAATTAATTCCTTGTTTTGCTCTGTTTTCCCTATTAAACTGTCTTTGTCTCAACTCACGAGTTTTCTAGCTTTTATCCGTCCAGTTCTCTTCCCCATGCCTCTGGTGGGGAAGTGAGTGAGTATCTATGTGGTGCTTGGTTGCTGACTGGGGTTAAACCACAACAGGAAGAAATGTCAGGAGTCCATTTTTCAAGGGCTTCTGCAGTCAGCCTTCTGAAGGCTCTGTTGGGATTTTTGTTGTTGTTTGTTTTGTTTGTTTTGGTTTTTGGTGGGGGTTTTTTGTTTTGGTTTTTTGTTTGTTTTTTGTTGTTTGTTTTTTGTTTGTTTTTTTGTTTTTGTTTTCTTTTGTTGTTGTTTTTTTGTTGTTTTTTAATTTAATATGTCATTCCAGTACAAATATATAGTATAGCAAGTAATCTGGAGTCTAAGTCTTTCCAGGGCATTGCATTGCTAATTCAGGAATTATATTCGTTATATGCAATATGAATGATGTATAAAACTTCCTAATTACTCTTGTTCCCCTTTAAAACTCCCATACCACGATCTGGCTGATACTTTTACAGGGTTTCTGTAGATTTAAACCAAAATGATGAGTGGACTGCTGGCAACAAATGGCGCATACAACAATGTGTTCAGGAAGTTCAGTGAGATAAATCAATGGAGAAATAATTTACTTGTTAAATGTTCCGTTAATCTTCCCCTGATGGCTGATTCACAGTGCTTTATTTAGATATATTTAGAATCTGTTTAGTTTTCAAAATGCGCAGTTATCTTGGTTTATTTAAAAGCAGGAGGGGAGAAGGAAAACCTCCGTTCCTTATTCCCATCGGTTGCTTTATCTTTCTGCTGCAGACTTGGTGGGGAAGTGAGTTTCGGGCCCCAAGCACGGCGGGGATGGGGCCGGGGCCGGCTGCCGCCGCTTCTCGGCGCGACGGGGCCCCCTGCGGGAAGGATCCCGCGGCCGCCCCTCCACCTCCCTCCCGAGGAACCGGCTGCTCCCGCTTTGCCCAAGCACTGCGTGCCACCACCAGCCGGACTTTACAGCTTCGTTGTACGTGCGGTTCGTTTTACAATTAGGGAGAGCCACCGTCCCCCGCCCTCCCAAAAGCAGGAGAGGCTTTTGTCAGCCGCTGTCCGGAACGCGGTCATTTTGGGGACGGCGAACCGCGTCCCGTCTTAGTGCCGAGGTTTCTCAGGCGTGAGAGCTCAGCTTGTTTCGTGCTCACCCTGCGGCTCGGCGGAGCTGCGACTCGCCCCCAGCACTTGATCCCGCGCAGGGGGCGGGAGGAGGGGGGTTTCTGTGGGAGGTGACCCGCGGGGCGCACATCGGGGGTATCACATCGTGGGGTGGGGTGGGGGAATCACCTCTGGCCGGGCGCTTGCCGAGCTCAGCCCGCGGGAACGCGCCGCCCGGCTGGTTCACAGGCGCCTTTCCCCCCAGGTAGGCGGGACGGGACGGGGGCGATCCGTGGGGAGCAGCCACAGGGATAGGGGAGTCCGGGAGCGCGGGAGCCGCGCTCAGTACCCGGGAGAGCTCCACGCCCACCGCGCATGCCCCGGCCGTGCCTGCGCGGATATAAGCGCGGCGCGGGAGCGGCGCCAGCAGTGCCGTCCTTCCAGCCGGGAGCAACCGTGCCAGCCGTGCCAGCCGTGCCAGCCGTGCCAGCCAGCCAGCCAGCCAGCCAGCCAGCCACCTACCTACCCACCCACCTACCCAGCCAGGAACAGCTGTGCCGTCCATCCAGCCGGGAACAACCCGTGCCCTGTCCCCACTGCCGCTGCCGGTCTGCTTCTGGGAAAAAAAGCTCCTGCGGACCCGTCCTCCACCCTAGCATGGGATGGGTGAGCCCTGCGAGCGCGGTACCTGCTCGCCGGCCGCTGGCATGACGGAAGGAGCGGACCGGGAGTCCTGGGACGCGCCACTGGGTTTCCTGGAGGGCGTTCAGATGGACAACAGGAGCAACGTGTCCTTCCTGCAGTTGTTAAAGAACATCAACCTGGAGCGAGCTGACGGGATGCAGGGGGACAGCTCTGATGTGGTGAGAATTATCATCTCGCTGGTGTACTCTGTAGTGTGCGCCCTGGGGCTGGTGGGCAACCTACTGGTGCTCTACCTGATGAAAAGCAAACAAGGCTGGAGAAAATCCTCCATCAACCTCTTTGTGACCAGCCTGGCAGTGACTGACTTCCAGTTTGTGCTGACCTTGCCATTCTGGGCAGTGGAGAATGCGCTGGACTTCAATTGGCTCTTTGGCAAGGCAATGTGTAAGATTGTCTCATATGTGACAGCCATGAATATGTATGCCAGTGTATTCTTTCTCACTGCCATGAGTGTGGCTCGATACCGCTCTGTGGCTTCAGCCTTGAAGAATCAGCGTCGAGGAGACCCCCTGGGTGGCTGTTGCTCTGCCAAGTGGCTTTGTGCACTCATCTGGCTGTCAGCTGTCCTGGCTTCCCTGCCCCATGCCATTTTTTCCACCACTGCCACTGTCTTTGATGATGTTCTCTGCCTTGTCAAGTTCCCAGAAGGCCGAGGCAGCAATGGCCAATTCTGGCTGGGTCTGTACCACATCCAGAAGGTGCTGCTAGGCTTTGTGGTGCCGCTGGTCATCATTAGTCTCTGCTACTTGCTCCTGGTGCGCTTCATCACTGACAAGCACGTTGGCAGCACTTGCAGCGGCCCCAGCACCAGGCGCCGCTCCAAAGTGACTCGGTCAGTGTCCATCGTGGTATTGTCTTTCTTCTTGTGCTGGCTGCCTAATCAAGCACTTACAACATGGGGGATACTCATCAAACTCAACGTAGTGCACTTCAGCAACGAGTATTTCCTCTCCCAAGTGTACCTCTTCCCCATCAGTGTGTGCCTGGCACACTCCAACAGCTGCCTCAATCCCATCCTCTACTGCCTCATGCGCAGGGAGTTTCGCAAGGCACTGAAAAGCCTCCTCTGGAGGATCACCTCACCTTCCCTCACCACCATGCGCCCTTTCACTGACACCACCAAGCCTGAGAAGGAGGAGCAGGCTCTGCATGCCTTGGTGCCTGTTCACCCTGTCACTGCTGCTTCCCCTGCTGCCGCCATCCAGCCGGAGGTGGCTTATTACCCACCCGGGGTGGTGATGTACAGCAGCCGCTGTGACCTCCTGCCTGCCAGCTCCATGGAGCATCGCTGCTGAGATGGGCAGGGGGCTCTGGGGGGTGGGACTATGGGCTCTGTGCAAGGTGTGGCCCTGGGATATTGAATGCCTGCCAGGGACAAGGGGAGGAGGGATGGGTAAAGGAGGACTTCTGTGTGAGAGATGCTGTTTTGTGGTTGTGTCTGCCCTTGGATGCTTGATGAAAATGCCCCCTGAGCTGGAGAACAGGAGTAGGAGGAGGCAGAGGTGGGGTGTCTCTAGGAGATGCCTTTTAGTGCTTGTTCTGGGTCACAGGAACTGGGGAGGGTGATGGGACTCCAGCCAGGGAGGATGCAAAATGTGCAAAGTACCATAGGAAGGAGAGTGACTGTGTCCCCTCAGCTTGGACCTGTAAGCAGCAAGAGACCAGCAGCTCTCCCACCCTGTTTGTCTGTGGCAGGGAGAGGGAGCTGAGCTCCTTTCTCACTGCTGCAGGACATTGTAAAAGGTGCCAGCCTGACTGTGGTCGCTGCTCCCTGGGCTCCAGTGCTGGCACAGGGATCAGACAGCCTATGTCCTATTTCAAACCTGCCCTAAGGGAAACAGCCAGGGCAAGTGGGTACAAGACTCCTATTGTTCAGCCTTGGCTTCTTTCTCCTCTTTTAAGAGACCTATGAAAGAGAGGGGACAAGGGGCACTGTGCTCCCCTCCAGATCTGTGCAGGATATGTTTTTCTAGCTACTCCCATCCCCTCAGCTGCTGCCAGGATATAGAGCAACCCAGACAGCCAAGGATAAACCCAAGGACAGAACTTGAATCTTGATGGGGAGGCGTTGCTTTGCCTGGGTTTGGAGGGGAGGATGTGAGCCCCCTGACATTGTGTTCCCCATACTCTCTCCAGGCTGCCGGGGGAAAACCTCACTGCCCAAGACCATGTGGAGCAAGGCAGCATCTTTCCCAGGGTGCTGAAGCTGCAGGCTTTATTCTTGCTGCACTTCAGACAGTTCGTATTTCACTTCAGGAAACCAGCACAACTGTAAATAAAATAATAATAAAAAAAAAAGGGGAAAAATAAACAACCTTAGACACTTCACATCACTTGCTCTGGGATACTTCTGGGTTCAGTTAAAACCAGGTACAATGGTTTTGTTCTGCTAAGGGTCTGCACTGACGCTTGCCAGTGTTTCAGTTAACTCCAATTCAGTTCCTCTAGGTTGACCAGCCCTAGGGTCTGCAGGTCAGCACTTTTGTAGCCTAGAGAATGTCAGGGACAATGCCTGACACAGCCTGTGTTCCAGAGAAACACTCAGCAAATAATTTAAGGTTGATCTCAAATGAACTTTTCTGGGGATGAAAAAGTGTATTTTTAAGCTGTGAAAGTTTTTATGGTAAGGCTATATATTTACTTTTTAAAACTTTGTTTTTAATTATGAGGAAAAAATTATTTAAAATGTAAAGGTCAAATATTTGTTTTAAAATATGGAAAAATGCAACAGTTATTGTTTTGTTTACAGAACACAAGTTCATTAGTTCCCTATACTATGTGTGAGATGATTATTTAAATACAATATTCAAACCCCCTTTCTATTTCCAGTCCCTTTCCTTGCAGCCTAACTCCAACATCTACCTGACACTGCTAAAAAAGCATTTATGCAGAGGGTTGTTTTAGTACTGATGCAGAGGAAACTTGCTATTTCTGTCCAGAGAAAACTGCAATGACATTAGTGGCAATTATGCTTTTCAGACTCTGTTTACTGTACATGTTGGTAACTCCTGTTGTAAAATTTGGGTTTGGTCTGAAAGCAGCTGGTTCTGCTGCTTGCAAGGAGAAGCTTTTTTTCAAGGCAGAAGAGACTTCTACAGCCTTAGGCACTTGCTAACTGGGAAGATACTGATTTCCAAGGTGTCTGGAGAAGAACAGCAGAAATGAGCTGCCAGCTGATGGGCATGCTTACACAGATGCAAAGACTCCGAAGAAATCAGATATATCCACAGCAGAACTTGAGCATCTGAGTACTGTACAACTGCCTCTCTGACTTCCTAAATCCTGACTTGGCTGCCAGTGTATGTCTATAGGTACTTAAAGCTTTTTTTCTAGTGAAATTCTTTGTGCCTAGAAATCTGCTCCTGAGCATGCCTAAATCAGTTTAATTCTGTAGCACTTATCTCTGTGCTTGTACAGATATGGGGATATCTCTGTTGGGACTGGGCATACTGTGTATCCTGCAAGGGAGGCAACTCTGCATCCCGACACAGAAGACCCTGTACCAGGCCACACTAAGTCAACAGAGGCTGTAAACTTAACTCATTCCCTCCATCCCTTTGAGTCTATGTCTAGATGTGCTTCTTCAGTCCCACCTTCAATGTGTGTGCAGATTATGCTCCTTCCTCTTCCTGTTTGAAACGCTGAATTAGGGGTCATAGCTCTCACGCGCAGGCTGAGAGATCAAGCTTCCCCTATTTCACATCCCAGGGGAACAACTGAACCTTTGGACTACTTTGTGAATGTGGTCAAACTCTCTGGCTTGAAACAGTTTCCTGTTTGTATGACTTGCTCACTGTTGCTGAATCAGAAAAGGTAAGCAAGCCCTCAAACACTACCTTGCAGCATAGTGGTTAGGGTGTAATCTCCAAAGAGAAATTGTCTAGATATTTTTTCACTGTAAGCACAGAAGAGAAATTGGATCCAGGTCTGGATTTTAGGTCTCCGCTTTCCAAGAACAATGTTTACCTTGCTGCTAGGTCCTGGTCCAATTAAAGTTTCAGTATGTTGTGCAAGTGTTTGAGGCCTTTCCGCAGGTATAGCATCCTAGTGAGTAGAAGAATTTGCGAAAAATTCATTTGGGTCTCACGTGTTCTGAGAGAAGGCTCTAACGTCTGTGCTGCAGATGAAGAAAGCTGCACAGTTGGATGAGAAAAGGATACCAGGAACTCTTAAGTCCAGAATTCAGAGAGATATGTGTTTCTCTATAGGCCAGGAGAAAGTATCTAAATTAAGGAGACAGAAGGAATCTCATAGCCAGATGCTCTTCTTACTGTTTGCTTTTGAACAGCATAATTTCTTGCTTAACTTGCTGGGAATTTATTCTCTATCTGATGCTTAAATGTTCTTGTGCATTAAATAAAGAACTATCCAAGTGTCTAAAGCATGACTGTGAATTTCAGTAGATAGCAAACTACCTAAAATACATCCACTGCAGTGCTCAGTATGGCAAACCCCATGTGCTTTTGTGGACGTCGATGTAGACATAATTTTATGCCAGCAAAACAACAGAGTAAAATAGACGGTGTTCAGAACAACCCATAGTTACCCCAGAATATTAGCAAGGTACCATTCCCCAAGGAAGTCCCAGGTGTCTGAGCATTACAGACATAAAAATGATACATTTGGAAAATAACCCAAACAGAAAAATACCTTGGGTGTGTAGGGACTTAGGGGGCAGCTCTCGCTCAGGCCACTGATCCACCAGGCCATGAATCTGCTGTTCGAAAGAGAAACAGCCCATCCACACCAGATGTAGGTTTAGGCCAGACCAGCAGCTCAGGCTGTGCAGGTCAGTGTGTGTCCAGCATGGCGAAAGAGCACTGCTCTACCTGTTCATGAGCAGAGGGAAGTTTCGCTTCTCATGTCCTGTGAATCCCAGCTAACAGAGCATGAAATCCGGGCTCTGAGTTGCACAGGTGGAGCCACTCACCTGGCCCTTGAGAGGAAGGTACTCTGAGTGTGCACAAGGCATCAGGTGTGTGGTCTCAGCAGAGGGTCTTCCCAGCTCAAGAACAGCAAATCCTACTGGATATCCAGTGGTTTCCTAAGTAACAGCACAACATGTTTCAAAAACGCACCTGTTTCCATGTTCATGTCTTCATTTGTAACAGTCACCTTTTCATGAACTGAAATAAATACGGCTGAAGGATACAAAACAATACTTAGGGAGTCCTTGAAGAGGTTTTCATGACTGGTCTCCTCCCGTATACAGACTGCTGGTGGGGCACTGGTAGAGAGATGCATGTCGTTATAGAACAATAGGGACCCGAAGGTGCAGGCTGACATCTAGTGACAAACTGAAAGAAACTTTAAAGACAGGATATTCTCATTAAGCAAAAACTTTGATTGCTGAAGGACTTTTTAAATGCCTCAGCCCCTTAAATAACTAACCAAGCTCTTAATGTAATAACAACTTCCACTGCACTCCCAGGTTTCCCTCCTCAGTAGAAATGTCCTTTCGCTTTCTCAGTGAGTTATTCTGGCGCTCACTTTAGCAGTAAAAAAAAAAAAATCCAGTTTCCTTCATTCTTATTCACAACTGTCTACTCTAAAACTTGATTATTCAATTGAGTAGCTCTGATCTAATTTGTATCCCTGAGCTTAAGCAGACATAGCTATGGGTGCGGTGCAGCTCAAGGACTTGAGAGCTTGGATCTCCTTTTTTTAGTGAGGGTTATTTCTCTGCTGCTTCAAAAGAAATTTCTTATTTTTCCATTCAAAGAAGGTTATTGAAAATACCTTTTTATCATGATTAAGCAGTTAAAAGAATCTCAGTTAAAACTTAGTCCTATGCTAAAATGTGGCTGCTAACACACATAAACAGGCTTGTCAGCCTATGTTCGTGCATAGCCTCAGAGTCCTTCCCAAAATCTTACCTGTAAAATATAGACTTACAGAATGGCTGAGCAAACTGGGCCAAAAAATCAGCTGGAGACAGAAGCAGTTTCTTGAGTTTACAGATTTTTGAAAACCTTGGTCTACCTGCTTGGGAAGGACTGCTTACTATTCATTGTGAGAAATAATAAAGGTAGATTACTCAGATACCAGCTCTCTCCCTTACTCATCCATTCCTTTGGACAATGAAATACTGTTTCTCCACCTGTGTTTTTTCTTGAAGAGAGCAGCTGAATTAGCATGGCCAATTGCACGACGATCAAAATAAGTATTCAACATTTTCTTCTAGAGTCATTGTTCAATGAACATTTCCACTTTCATTCAGCAGTCACATCTAACTGCACGCTGGATAAAACCAGAATCTTATAGAAAAACAACTTGTTTCTGTACTTGTGTAAAAGTCTGATCATCTTAGAAAAGACATCTGAAAATCAAATACCTTCAATTTTATTTTCAGGCCAAATAGTAAAACTGAGATAATAAATTTGTTATCAATTCATTGCCACCAACAATTATCCTAGAGTTGAGATGGTGGAGAAGTCACATCTGACTAAGCTGGTAAACCTCAGATTAGCAACTGGCTTGATGTTTGAGGGGATAGTAGCTGATTTATATTGACATAAATAAGACTTTTGATGATCTCTCTCACGACATCCTCATAGACAAACTGATCAAGTCTGGACCAGTGAGTGGAAAGTGAGTTGGATTGAAATTGACTGAACCGA